AATGTATCTATCATTTAAAGTAAAAACCATGACCATTGGTTTTATGGTTTTTGTGTTATATTACCTGAAAGTCGACCAATTTACCCATTTTTTTTGGTATGATGCAAAAAACGAAAAAAGTTTTAACTTTGAATGCTTATATCTTCTACAAAAAAATCTTAAAATAGATTTTATTGCAGATTCTGAATTCTTGGGAAATTTTCTGTCGAATAAGTATGGTTAAAATCGGTTTTGCGAACACTTTTTCAAAAATTCATATAGTGGTCTGATGATTTCGGTAGCGCCAATAAAACGATCGTAACCACAGCTGCTACTTGTCTATTGAAAAGTTATTTTTCTTGATTTTGGCCAAAGTCGCGCCTTTGATTTTTATAGAATCAAAGCCGACTGGAGAATTCGAGTCTGTAGAACTTTACTAATTCTTATATATATTTTATATATCTCCTGATATTTTATATTTCAATTTGACTAAAATGGATTGATTCTTAATGAATCAATTGCAAGCTGTAACGTTATATAAACTTAGTCGTGTTGAGTTTATCTTTCTTTATATTTACTAGAATATTTCGGTCGGCCTTCAGTTAATCATTAAACTTATTGCATTAGTCTGCAAAGTGCTTTATATGATATTTTCTCGACCTAGATTAAAAAATTTATATTTGTTAGCACATTTTTAGATTTTGTTAGTATTCTAACAATAATACTGTCTTCCTACTTAGTCGATCTGTATAAAACAGTTGTGAAACAAAGCGTTTTATGTTGAATAGTAGCAATTGGGAATATGTTGGGGCAAGAATATACAGGAAAACACCAACGGGTTTTTGGGCCATGCTTGTAGCTTTAGTGACACATTTTAATTTCCATATTTCAATTGCTCCTCGCGTTCTTTCTTTTTTCATACTCGCAGTGAATTGTTACATTTTCACTGTCAAGAAGAAGAAATCAGATTTGAAGCAAATAACTGTCTCCAACAAAAGAGCATCAAATTTAGATGCACAACGGACGCGTAACAAAATGAGAAATTTCGGAACGACAAAACTTTATGGACCATCCGATCAACGGATGGGGGAAGCAGATGTAAGCTGTGTAGGTAGACCCTATTTTATTTATTTAATGGTAGAAACATATTTCATAAAGAGAGGTAGGTTACTTTCACGTGCCGAGGTTCATGTACGCTTGCAGTCATTATAATTACAATTAGAAACTGTTGCTTGAGTTAAACAAAAAATCAATGTAACATGTATGGGATAAATGAGAACGAACATTTGTAGAATCATTTTTTCCTTAGTTGTTGAAAAATTCCGTAATTCAGAAATCATTCTAAAATATAATATGTTGTAAAACAAGAACTTAATGTAATCGAATCAAATTTATTTTAAAATTTAAATGCATATTTATATTACTTAGTTATTGTGATAAACCACCACAATTGTCGGTTCACGGCGCTTGAGTATTTAGAAACTTTTGGAAAAATAGTTTAAGAACAGCCTAGTACAATTTTCGTTTGTTTTTATATCACCTAAAAATATATCTCTCCGACTTGGGAAGTTCAATGCAGAAGGCACAAAAACTAAGAGGAGTCATAGCCTGATCAACTCGGATTTTAATGCAGATCAAGAATACATATTAGAGCTGGAAATAAATAAATTTTTTGTGTACCAATTCTTTTCTAAAAAAAATTTAAAAATAAATCGATTAACATCGAAAATTAAAATAAATTTAATTATTATATTCATCACATATTTATAATATTATTGTTCTTCACATTTTATCTTTCGGCTTTTACATGTAAATATATACTTTTTCACTTATTATTTGACATCGGAGTATAATTACATTGATTCGAACATTTTTTATCCGGAGGCAAAACGTTACTGATTCTGAAAGATTGTGGTCAAAAATGGTACGGTCTCCATCACGTACCAATTTTGAGAAAATCACGGTCAAAATATAAAAAGTGGTTGGTTTTGGGACTTTTCAAAGCCTTATAATACGCTGAAGGTCCCTATACCCAAGAAGATATAGGGGTTAAGGAATACTCAATCTTTACTTGTGTTAATTTACTAGGCTTCCCATCGTAATCCGAAATCCCAACTTCCGGAAAATTCAGAAGCCGGAAGAAAAACAAAATATATTTCAACGTAGTAAATCAAATATGTTGAACTTTGAACTTAACTTTTCACGAGTTATCATTCGCGTAAAACTTTATCTATTAAATTGATTCTAAAACTGTATATTTATATTTCACATAATTGAAAAAAATTGATTAGTCAATTTTAGAATCGAATTTTTTCTGCTCTAATATATATTTTCTCCTTATAGCTCTTCTGTTAACATAGTGTTTTTAATTATCGATTATTACTATGCTTTATATGGTTACGTTTAGCAAAACAACATGAACAACAACAGAACAACACTGATAATGATTCAAGAAGGAGCGTAAAATTATTATCAATGATTACTAATGATTAATCAATAATCAATTATTCATATATATATTATTTATTTTTTTTAAGACACAAGTGCAGTGCACAGTGCTGCAATTGTGTCAGTGGACGAAATAAATTAAATACCAGCATATTAAAGAAACGGAGCCGCCAATTTAATTATATAAGCAATTTATGAGTTTGTGACGCGTGTACGCGCACAAATAAATATTAGTAGGAAATATAATAAGATAGGAACAATTAGCGACATAAAAAAATGGATCGGCGAATGCGAATGCGCGCGAATGAATGCGCGCGCGCGGCACTGATCGCGAGCGGAGGGTCACACTGGACCGAACGGAGGCTGGCCACACTATTCGGGCAAATCTCACACAAGACTCTGGCCACACTGAAGCCTCGCCAGGGCCTATATAAAGCGGGCCACAGCCTTGGAGAAATTACTTAGCAGCCGACTGCGATTGGGTCGAGTTAAAATCCCTAGTAGTTAGCAGCGAAGTCACTTTTTGTGAGCCCAGGTTCCGGACTTTCGAGTCCGAACCTCTGCTGACTTTCGAGTCCGAAACTCTGCCGACTTTCGAGTCCGATCTCTGCTGACTTTCGAGTTCGAACTTTGATGACTCTCGAGTCCGAATCTCTGCTGACTTTTGAGTCCGAACTTCTCCGAGCTGACTTTCGAGCCCAACGAACCTCTCTGAGCTGACTTTCGAGTCCAACAACAAACTTCTCTGAGCTGACTTTCGAGTCCGACAAAAATCTTCTCTGAGCTGACTTTCAAGTCCGACAATAACGGCTCTGAGCTGAATACCGAATGTTCCGTTTGCGACGCCGACCTCACCAATCATTCTAGAAACCAGCACAATACTTAAGACCATTGAAGACCATGCACATGAATTGCCAGAATCGGCAGTCAGATGCATTGAATTTATATTCCACTCAATGTTGAAATGACGGTACTTTTCTGATCAATGAAAAAAGTCTGTTATCACAAAGATTCCAAAGTCAGATAAAGACAAATCCAAGTCTTCTTAGTGTCGGCCCATCAGCCTCCTACCGTGTGTATCAAGCTATTTGAAAAAATTCTTCTTTTTCGACTATTAACACATCTTCAGCTAAACAGAGTTTTTCCCCTTAACCAAGTCGGATTTTGGGAAAACACAAGCCACAAGGCACTGCAATACTATGCCTTATTTCTGGACGTATCACAAGTCTATCATACAAAATCAAAACCCTCTTACTGGAAAACACCCACAAGTTACCTCACCTCACCATGAGATATAAAATCAACAACTTCAATCATTCGTAATATTGAAACTGGCGAGCCCCAATAAAGTGTGTTGGGACCGATCCTATACTTCCTTTACACGGCAGACATTCGGACAAGCCGCCATACACTCGTCTTACCTTCTCTGCGATTGTCAGCCACTCAAAATGCTCGGAAATTAGTAACAACACACTTTAAAGAATATTTGGTAGGCGTCGAAAAATGGTTAGAAAACTGGCGGATTGATTGATCAAATATCTAAGCATAACATATATAAACACTAAAAATTGGGTTTTAAGTCAATTATTCTGAAATAACAAAAAAACAAAAAAAAAGGAATAATGTTGAAAACCATTAAAGTTCTGTAATATTTTTAATTGTTTGTATTCAATCTACATACATACATACATATGTATACTAATAAGGTAAAAAATAAACTTGAATGAATAACGAAAGGGGAAAGGAAACCTGCTGGAAAATCCCTTTAATAGAATGTGTCGGCTTCTATTCACTCAGTTGAAAATAAGTCTTTACCCCACAGTATCAGTATATCATTTTTATATTCATAATCGTTGAAACGCTCTTTCAAAATCAGATTAAGTTTTTATAAGTTTTAGCGGGAAGTGTTTTAGATTACAGACTTCGATAACTAAGGTTATTTATTTAATATCAAAATTGCACGCTTGCAATTACAAAAAATATTAGTTAACGTAAACTCGGCCTCTTTTACTCACGGATTTCGGGTTATTTAAACCATATTGACTTCATTATAAAGTTAATGAAAAATGTAAAAAAAAATTTGAATTGGCTCATGACTTTTCCAATACTTGCTATATGATTTAAGTCAGTTAAGCCAATGGCATATTTTAACAACGGCCAGCTTTACAATTACATACGTATGTACATATGTATGTTTGTATAAATCGAAATTTTCATACAAAAGAAAATTTTGACAATGTTGTGGACTTACTTCATTTTCTAAATTTTGGTTTATTGTAACTAATTGTTCATATACATATATATAAATTTAACTCATGTTAAGGGTAGAAACATATATAATAATTTTATGTTACTATTTTTACCTAATGATAAAATCAACACTTTTGTTTTATCTTAGACGTGCACATTTACAGTGGGTAGTACTGTCGTATCGATACAGTTCGCACGTTTCATCTGACGTAAACAAATATAATTATATATTTTTAAATCAAATTTGTTTGCTTTTTAAAGAAAAAAGTACAAAAAGATTAAAATAATTTTATTTAAAAAATATATATAGAAAAAAAGCGCTCTTTGTTACGATGGTTTCTGTGTATCAATAAGGACTTATTAGAGAAAACGTAAAAATTTAATTCATAGAAATCTATGACTAGGTTAAGTCACGGTAACAGTGCACTAATCCGATATTAAAATCTTAATTTAAGTTAATTTCATTGAAGTAATCATTATACATCATATCAGTGGTTTAAATATATTATCATTATTGCGGGGGCTTGCAACGTCCAGCCGAAGTTCCAGAAAAATCCAAATCTTTTTGTTCAATGATTGGAATGCGGTCGTCATACAATGTAGGGGCTTGTAAAATTATAGCTGCAGTACCGACAAGAACGGCCAATGTGAATATCCATAGAAAGAGTCTATCCAACACCATTGCAACATATTTCCAATCTTCTTTAACCTAGAAAAAAAATTAAATTAAATAAATTAATTAATAAGAATTATCTATCAAACCGCTAAAGTGTTAAGCTTTTGTCTGCATATGTATAAAAAAATATATATATATATCCCTTGGCTCTACCGTAAAACATGTACATTTGGAACACAAATTTTAACCTTCTGTGAGTGTTCACAAAGTGTAGCTGTGATCTCCCCTATTGCACTTAGAACTTTTCCCGCAAACGGGGACTGCCCGTGTATCCAGATATAAGACACAAATTCGAATCTTATATTAACAACCTAAGCTAGGACTTATACGAAAAAAACTCAGTTTAAAATAATAGCTCAGCAGACGTGTTTCAATAGACTCATTTAGTTTTAAATCTCTTTTTTTATCTCTATACAATACTCCACAACATGTATTTATTTCAGTTTGTATGTAATTTACGGAATTATGAAGCCATATGACAATCTTTTCCAAGTTGTTGTGCTTGAGTCTGAAGTATTTGAAGAAGGAAGAAATTACGATTTTGTGTTTTCTTTTCTCAAGGCCCGTTTGGAGCAAAGCTAAAAATTTAGTCGGCTTAATGTCTATTTTTTGGCTACTGGATTGTGTGACCGGACATCTGTCATTTTGTACACTTTCGACAGCCTAGTCAAAAATTCATCGGAATAAAAATACCTGCGCATGTGCTCATTGTAGTATTTATATGTAAGTATTTATCTTATCGGTGCTTAATCCCAAACTCTTAAACGGGCAATAATTGCCACGACGCACGCACTTATCCAGTGAAGCCTACTGGACATATTAGAGCATAACCCATCTGCGGCGGACCGTAGTCTATTCCAGGCGGTCTTGTGCCCGACCCATCTCCCCCAAATAAAAGCCTCTACTCAGCGTTTATTCTAGGTAAAATCTTTATATGTTTATAAACTTCCTTATTACTAACATGGCAAGATTTATACTTAGTTAAGCTTAACCTTTCACCGGCGAGAAAAGAAACTAGAGGGTACAGGTAAGTAACACAAAAAAAAAAACTTATCCACACAAAAAATACTCAACCTATACTTGCAGCATGGCACCCTTTGATGGCAAGTGGTACAGCGCCAGATTTAGCACGGTCAGGATTGGCGTTCCGCAAGGGCAGCCAAACAAAAATAGCCACCTATTGGCCGGATAGGACTGGCCCCTGAACCCGCACCAAAACTTCCTGCCGGTCTACGGTGGGGCGCTCCCAGAACGGACTCATCAATTTCCAGTCAGAATGGCGACAGTAAGCGGGATTGGTAGCTCGTGCTGGTAAGCAGCTTGGCGACGGTAAAGTTCTGGTGGACTGCTTGGCGACGATAAAGTTCTGGTGGACTGCTTGGCGACACCAAGTTGGCAGGTCGCTTCTGGCGGCGGCATATCGCTGCGGGTAACACCAGAAAAAAATTTAGCAGCCAGCGATTTCGCCACTATTACGCTGAAAGGAAACATCCTTTACTACAAGTTCACTGGATTTCCACTTTCACTCACGTTTTTCATTTTCAAAAATTTTCTTTCACTGGCTGACTTTTACAGCGCTACTCCTCACGCCTGCCTTTTGCCTCCCTATATAGCCTCGATCCGTTGATCGTTGATCGGCGACTGTAAGCGTGTCTTCAGCTTCCTGGCCAGCCTATAGCTGGAACCATGCAGGAACATGTGATGTCCGATCAGCGTAATGATCGGCGCTTTTTCCGTAGCTGAGTGGACTGTATTCCGGATTGCCACCTCTATCTCGGGAAGGTAAGCATCCTACTTCCGACGAACACTCTCCAGAGTAAATCAACCCGCTTGATGGTGTATTTCTCCATGCTAGTGGTTCCCAAACCATCGTTTGATCTCCTTCAGCTCTCGGTAATCCGCTTCGGAGTCTGCCTTCTCCTCGTCGTCACTATCCTAGTCGGCGTAGTGCTTCATTTGCCTGGCGTCGATTTCTTCGGTTTTTTTCGCGCCTTTAGTAGGGATTTCTCCAACTACGGCTGGAGCCAGGTCAAACGACCGCCAGAAATCGAGGTCGATTTACGCCGTCTGCTCCAGTTATGGGCACAGATAGAAATGGATTTTTTCTCTGGTACTCCACAAGTACCTTTATCCGTCCAAAGAATCCAAGTACCTCTGGAGAGGCACACCCAAACGCGTCCACCAGTTCCCAACCACCTTTGCCAAGCAGACTGACACTTTCTTCGGTATTCAATAACCTTGTTAGCTGCTAGCTAAGGATCTTAATACTGGCAAACCGTCTCGGGTCTCTAAACTGCTCCTTTGCTTTTCGTACTGCTTGGGTTAGTTTGCGCATATCACTTATGTAGCAAGCAGCCAAACTAAGTAATTGTAGCAAACATTCACACTACCCGGTACATTCACACATTTATTGTACATATACACCCTTAGTTATAAGCATACAATATACATATCTCCTTTACTCATTTTAAAAAGACCGTGCTCACGAACACTACTGCGTGTGTCTCGTTCGCACGATGACAGATGAAACACCAATACTTAATAAATAGGCTAAGCATGGAATGGAAGAATGAATAGAGAACACTTCGTTTGTGACCACTGAAGAGAACAGCAGCAATTTAGTGCCTCCTACAATTTCAGATGTGGGATTACTGAGAATACAATTTTTTCCTCAGACGCTCAACCTACAAAGGGAACAAAACATTATCAAAATCTACAAACAAAAAAAAATGAACACCATCGGTGCAGACGATTACACGGTGGCGGAACTACGCAATTGGCTGGGAAGGCTTAACATGCAGAAAAGCGGAAATAAGGAAACGCTTGCGGCGCGACTGAATGGGGTGCCCCCTGAAGCACGAGGAGTTTGCCCGGCGATGGCGGAATCAGAAGATGACGCTCTTAATATCGATTTGGAGCACGGCGACGCCGGAGCAGCGGCGCCAGACAACAGCCATTTACATTCGGACAAGCGAGGTAACGGCGAAGCCTATGAAAGTGTTGTTGCCGAGATCAACGAAGACGCGGAGAATGAAGAGAATTCGCAAAATTGTTAGTGTAGTCTGCTTTGCTTATGGAGTGAGTCGTGCATGTATACGGCGATTGCTTTGCCTATGCCTAGGAGCAAATACAAAAACAATGAGAGCGGCTAGAGTATTGGGCTGGGCATGACTGCCCTAAAGCTTCAGCTAGAGCTACTCCAATTAGAAAACGAGATTCTGAGAAAGGAATTTAATCAACGTCAGAGCGGCGATGCCATACCGACTCTGAAAGGCGATGCCATACCGACTCAGAACGGTGTTGCCATACCAGTTCAGAGCAATGTATCCACACCAGTTCAGAACAATGTCTCCACACCAGTTCAAAACATCGTTGGCGGAGATGCCAGATTGGAGGAAGAATCAGTAAACAACAATTCGATTCTGGCCATGGCCAGAGAAAGGTGAAGTCAAAACTAAAGGACCGCGCTCAAGTTTGGTTGCACTCAACCGAAAATTTGCTGACTTTGCCGATTCATGAACTACTACGACAGATTGATGAGGCTTTTAATAGTAAGGAGATGTCTCGACGCAAGTTTCAAGGGCGCAAGTGGAATTCGTCCGAAGATTTTTCCACATATTTCAAGGAAAAAACACTGCACACACACATCCAAATGGGCAACGAGGAGCTAATCGGCAACATCATTGAGGGGATTCCCGACTCTGCTCTGCGATAACAAGCACACATGCACTGCTTTAACTCGTCTGCACAGATGCCTGCCACGCATGTGCCAGTATCGATCACCAGGTTCACCACTGCACTGAGAAGAAGTTCGTACCCATCAATGAATATGTAAGACCGTTTAAGATTTACTTTGGTTCAGAACCTGATCAATGTTTGTTTTTAGAATGCCCTACGATTCTGGGAGTCCAATGAGCAAAATATCAAGGCAAATGAAAAGATTCTCACAAATACGTTGGCTTAAATGGTAACCCCTTAGATATAATCGGAAAAATATCATGTTTTGTTATTATCAATAAAGAAATGTTTAATTTTGAGTTACTAATTGTGGCGAACAAATCGATGGCATATGGAACAGTTTTGGGACGAGATTTTATGAGCAATTGTAACTTTAAGATTATGAGAGAAAATGATAGTTCAAATGATAGTTATGCTGAAAATGATAGTTCAAATGATAGATATGCGGAAAATTGTTGTTCAAATTGTAGTTTTGCTGAAAATGATAGTTCAAATGATAGTTATGCTGAAAATGATATTTAAAATAATAGTTATGCTAAAAATTACTGTTCAAACGATAAATATGCGAAAAATTATTGTTCAAATAATAAAAATGCGGAAAATTGTAGTTCAAATGGTAGTTTTTCCGAAAATGATCGTTTAACTGAAAAAAATAAAAAAATTATCGTTCAAATTATAGAAATTTAGATAATGATTGTTTAAATAATAAAAGTGTTGAAGACGATAAGCCAAAAAGAATTGACAGAGAATTGATGTCAAGTCGATACAAAATACCGTTAAGTTAAATGAAAGCAAAATGATTAGTCAATATGATAACAGCTTTGAATCAGAAATGTTATTAATAGAATACCCCGAGACAACTGAATGCAGCCAGCTAAACATAAACAAGAAGTGCGATGCGAATTTAAGAAACAGAATGAAAAATATGTTTGAACAATTTTATGAAAAAGCGAAACGCCCAGACCTCCCATCAATAAAATGGAAAATGAAACTTAATTTGATAAAACTAAACCATTCAACTACCCCCCTGACGTCTGTCGTTTCCGGAGAAAATCCAAGTTCAAGATTTGTTAGAAAAAGTCAGGAGAGTTAAGAATATGCCTTGACTATCGCACATTTAACAAAAATATGCTAAAAGACAACTACCCCACCCCTCTAATAGACGAACTAATTGATAAATTTCTGAAAAAGTCCTTTTCACGAAGCTAGGTCTTAGAAATGGATTCTTTCATTTGCACATGCATGAGGATTCAGTCAAATACACCGCGTTCACTAGGACAATGGGACAATACGAA